CTAACAGTGGGGTGTGAGGCAAAATCACACAGGCCATGATAACGGGCCATAAAATGGTTTTCGCTAGCCAATCGATCTACTCAAGATGCAACATGCCTTAACCGCACGCTATGCACGATCAAGATTGACATAAAACAGCCGATAAAACATAACTCATCGTTTAAAGTGCAGATCAGATCAATTTAGATTAACAAACGATAGGTTAAACAAGATATAAGGCCAATCTAGATCAATCCCAATCGGGCGAAGTGATATTGCTGTAATTAAATAAATAATGGAAGCAACAAGCAATGTCGGTAACTTAATGAATCTATCCGAAGGAACGCCACCCTTAGATAGAGACGATAACTTGACCTTAATCTAGTTCGAGCAGTGGAGGTCGACTAGATCGATGCAGCCGTACTTGAACTAAACAAGAGTCGATAACTAATTTATACCAGAGTCGCAGTGGAGGTTGACCGGATCAATGCATCCGTACGAACAGATGTATAAGCCATGACGGTACTTACAGACAAGCAGTGGAGGTCGACTGAATCGATGAAGCCGTACTCGCTGAAGAACTCACCGAGATCTACTCTACTCCTACTCCTAAGGGGTGGCCGGAGCTGGAAAAAGTAAGTAACTTGTATTGGATTGATTGTGTGTCCTTTACAATAGCCGGGGTCCAATATTTATACCCGAAACCTACGCATAAATCCTACTTAAGCACGACTCATTACAATTTCTTGGCTTAAGAGAAAACATTCCTAATTTAAGATAACTTGGACTCTAATCTTTCCCTTTTTGTAGAGTCCAACATGCTTTGTCTCGGTGCCGATCGTAGCCTTTGTCGTTATCTGCTGGCGCTACCTGAAGAAAGACGATTCTAGTGTTTCACTCGAATTAGCTGATTTCGATCTGCACGCAATTGATTCCTTGATGACATGATCTTGGGAGCTTTCGAGTTCCTACGATTCTTCTTCCAAATTTTGGTGTAAATAGTTTTATAGGGGAGACGGATGCAAGGAAGGCAACAATCCGCCTGGATCTCAACGCCTGCCACGATTCGCCACCACGTCACCACGCGGGATATGCACCCCCAATCCCTATCCTTTCTCACTAAAGTCGCGTCGGACGTTTCGCCTTCCCGGCCAGACCAGGTCAAAAAGCGTTTCTCCGGCTCGCCTAGGCCCAAGAGTTCGACGGCTGGCCCAATGATTTCGATGGCCGTCCCAACGAAGGATGGGCCCGCGAGTGGCCAAAACTCAGGCGCACGAGCCTCAAGGGAGTCTCGATCCGTGATCAAGCCTCAACCGGGCTGACCCTGCACGAATCCCCGTGAGCGGGATACCACGGTTCCCTTTAAACTATCCAGTTGTCAAAAACACCAAATCTCACAGCCATACCCGCGAAGGGTCCGAATTACCCCCGGGCGATTCTATTCGAATCACCCGGGGGCTCGGGGGCTACACCCGACGGGTGCGCTCGTGCGCATCCTCTGGCGAATCAAAATACCCCCCTGGGCGATTCTAACCGAATCACCCGGGGGCTCGAGGGCTACACCTGTCGAGTGCGCTTGCACGCACCCTCTAGCAAGTCAAATCACCCCGAGCGATTCTATCTGAATCACCCGGGGGCTCGGGGCTACTGTCGGGGACCAAATACTGGGGTACCCAAAGAGGTGGAGCTAACAACCATCAAACGTTGAAGCTTCCGAATAGACAAGAGCGCAACTACACTTCTTGCCCATACGACCGAAGGTTGGCTGCGCCTCATCCGGCCCCCTAAGGGTTGGCTCCGCCTCGTCTGACCCCCGAGGGCTGGACTCCGCCTCGCCCGATGTCTAGGGGCAGGCTCCGCCTCGCCCGACATCTGAGGGCAGGCTCTGCCTCGCTCGACGTCCGAGGGCTGGCTTCGCCTTGCCAAACGACCGGGGATCGGCTCCGCCTTGCCCGACGACCGGGGACCAGCTCCGCCTCGCTCGATGTCCAAGGGCTAGCTCCGCCTCGCCCGACCCCCGAGGGCTAGACTCTGCCTTGCCTGATGTCTAGGGGCAAGCTCCGCCTCGCCCGACGACTGAGGGCTGGCTCCCCCTCGCCCGACATCTGAGGGCAGGCTCCGCCTCGCTCGATGTCCTGGGGCAGGCTTCGCCTCGCCCGATGTCCCGGGGCTGGCTCCGCCTCGCCCAACGTCTACACCCTGCCCCTTTATAATGACGAGCACAGGGTAAGACATGATACTCAAGTCAACCGCAGTACCGAGGAACATACCCTGCACACTTGCGGGAAAGTACCGTCAGGATATGACGGGACAGGCGCTTTAAGCCCTTCCAGGCACGACAGAGCCCGAACAATGTTGTAGGTGTCGACTTTTGTCTTACAGTGTTGTGGGCGCCGCCGTTAGCCCTTGGACGCGGATCCTGACATAAGCATACGACAATCACTACGATCCAGGAGGGAACTCACATCATCTACAGTAACGGACATATGGTCACTTCCTCGTTTGATCCCCGTAGGGTCGCGGCTCGGCACCCTGATGCGTCGCGCCGCCTGCCGGGGCAGGATGGGACGTGACCACTTGCTAAACGAAGCCAGAGCTCGGCCCTATCAAGATCAGCGAACGTGCTATCCCTGGCACCGTCTGCCATGTCAACAGGGCTAGCTCAGAGGAAAAGAAAGACCCAGCACCTTTGAAGGACCTTCTTGGCCTCTGGTTTTTCTTCTTTTCTGTAACCCCTGCTCCCCCTTGATCTATAAAAGGGAAGGCAGGGCACCCCACTAAGGGGACGGATCAATTCGACACACCACGTACCACATTACACACAGCCGAGCAGCACCCGAGCTCTCAGTACTCACTCGACCTTTCCATCAGAGACTTGGGACATGTCCCTCTCTCGACCGTTTGTACCCCCTACTACGAACCTTCCAGTGCTAATAATACAAGCAGCAGCAGCAAACTGGACGTAGGGATATTTTGCCCGAACTAGTATAAACCTTATATCTTTTAGCACACCATCCGGGCCTAACGCGCAACAAATACAAATTTACTAGTTGGTGCTTACTCGAAACACCGACAGTAAGTGAAATCATCAGCTAGGTGGATATTACCAGTGTGAATTGTTGAGCCGATGAATTTAATCGAGAAAGGATATAACATGCAAACAAATCAACTGTCTAGCATAAATGGATCTACAAACGTTCTGAATCTAATCTGTTACCATCAACAGTGAGGTTCGACCAGATCGATGGCAGCTATGATGATAATAACAAATTAAAGCTTTAGAATCCGTAAAACCATCTACACATCGACAGGCTTTCCGAAAGACACGCTATATATGTGAAAGTTCAAAGTGGATCGGCTGAAATAGTCGATTCGGGTGAAAAGGGACTACAACGTGTCAACAATCGACTATTTTACGTGGACAAACCTATGAACTCATCAGACCTAACCTGTTATCTCTAACAGTGGGGTTCGACCGGATCGATACAGCCGTGATAAAAACAACAAATCAAACCTTTAAAGTAAACAGATCTATTCACATTTAACAGAATCATGGAGATACACTGTAGGCGTTAAAGCATAGGCGATCGGCTATTTAGCCGATGCAGGCATAGCAAACAATTAAGGTCACGCCTAATCGAGAACAAATCTACTAACTAGCATCCTCCAATCTACAGTGTCATCAGTGGGGATCGACCGGATCGTTAGAGCCATAATAGCGAACTATAGACCAGATTTAACTAACCAGCAAACCTCTTCAAGATCATGCATGCCTTAACCGCATACTATGCACGACCAAGATCGAAATAGAACCACTGATGAAACGTAACCCGTCGCTCAAAGTAAGAAACATCGTGTTGTGACAAAGCAAACGACGGACTAAAAGGATATGAGGCCGATCTAAATCGATCTCGACCGAGCAGATTGATGTTGCTGCAAACTAATAACAATAAGGACATCAACAAAATCGGTAACTTAATGAATCTACCCGAAGGACGCCACCCTTAGGTAGAGCCGATAACTTGACCTTAATCTAATTCGAGCAGTGGAGGTCGACCGGATCGATGTAGCCGTACTTGAACTAGACAAGAGTCGATAACTAGCTTATACTAGAGTTCGCAGTGGAGGTCGAACTTAACCGATGCAGCCGTACAAACAGAAGTATAAGCCATGGCGGTACTTACAGACAAGTCGAAGGTGGGCCGGATCGATGTAGCCCTGCTTGTTGAAGAACTCGCCGAGATCTACATTACTCCTACTCCTAAGGGTTGGCACGGAGCCGAAAAAAGTAAATTATATTTGATTGATTGGATGTCCTTTTTACAATAACCAAGGTCTAATATTTATACCCGGAGCCTAAACATGAATCTTACTCAAGTACGACTCATTACAATCGTTGGTATAAAAGAAAACATTCCTAACTCAAGATAACTTGGACCCTAATCTTTCCCTTTTTATAGAGTCCGATATGTATTTCCCGACGCCAACCGTAACTCTTTGTCGTTATCTGCTGACGTCATTCGAAGAGAGACGATTCCAGTGTCGCATCTGAATCAGCTGATATCGATCCTTATGCAACTGATTCCTTGGTTGACACAATCTTGAAAGTTCCCACGTTTCTCTTCCCAAATTTTGGTGTAAACAGAATCTAAAGGCAAAATGCCTTGCACCTTTTTGACCAATGCTGCTATCTACACATTCCCTGGGCTAATACCCCTGAAGCAAAGCTGGGGGGCAAAGATTCTCCACTTCCGGCTTGAGACAAGCATGTACACTAAACCATCCTGGTCCACTGCAAGTGCATGCCTGCAGAATGATAGCACCATCTAGACAGATCATCTTCAGTACTGCTGCATTGTCTACAGCTATATATAGTTTAAATAGCCAATGGGTGAAATCATGCTGTCAGTGTAGTTGCTGCATTGTCAATATACCCTGTCTACGCAGTAGTGCTTCTGTAGGTATCTAGAAAAGAAAGGCACAGTTGTCTCACTCTCAGAACTCTGAAGATATATACTTCCATGAGCAGGTGTCTTCAGGTAGGAAGATCTGGAAGCCCTGCCATTTCGAGATGGTTGAATTCTTCGGAGGTAAGTATCATCTGTTGTATACATGTCTTCACACGTTGTTGTGTGTGCATACAAGAGTTGATCTGACCTGCATTTGAGAACTGACAGTGAATCTGGCATTGTTGCAGGATAGAACGAACCATTCGGTTGATCGTGGAGGAATTAGCACGGTCTCTGCATCAAAATTTGGTGTTCATGATGGTCTCGCCAAGCTGAAGGATTTTCTCAGCATTGCAGATCAAGATTTCCAGGAAGATACCAAAGGGAGCTCTGATAGCAGGTGCCTCCATGAGATGCTCCAGGAGTCCCAGTCCAATTCGCCCGTTTCCTTCTACTCACATCTTGATTCTAGTGAAGAAAGTGATAGCGAGGTAAAACAAACTCGACTCTAGCATTCAAAGCTTCATTGAAAATTATACTGGTGAAGGGATAAATTACCATTTTCAGTAGACGAACTTTGCTTCACTTTTTATTGTACCACATTTATCAGCAGTACAGTTTTACATCATTCATCCATGTGAATTATCGTCACCAAAGTTGAAAATCTGAATGATTAGAGATACATGCCTACAGAGACCAAAGATTTGTGTTAATGGAGAACTAAAAACTGAATATGTTGTTTATAATTTTTACCGAAGTCGTTGCCTGGACTTTGTATATGTGGTGGGCTTTGACCCTTAGATTTAAATGGCATTTAATTCATCTGAAGCAGGCAGCTCCATATGACAAAGGAAGGTCAGCAAAGATCATGCCCATAGATGCAGATTTCTTGGCAGCTAAACTACATGAAAGGTACTCCATTTGACATTGTCTGTGGCACTTTTCTCTTTTGCGAAAGTGCCTAGCATGACATTGTCTGTGGTACTGTTTCTTGAGCTGCCTAACCTCAAATTTCCTTTTTTTGGTACCATCTTTTGCTTAGATCAAACCACAACAAGAATCTGACGTGGTGCACATCTCCTGAAAATGCAATGATATACGCTCCAGAATCTCCAATGTACCAGGTAGATGACCATGAGATGAAATCAAACTGCTTGCAATCAAACAGATCTCATGGCTCACTGAATAATCTATCAAATTCGGTCCTGGAGCTGAAGAATGCTGACTCATACTCCACATCCAACTATTCCGCCAAGGATGCCATGTTTCCACAGTGCTCGCCGAGGTACGATCTCAGATGCTTCAGCACCTTCTCAACCAAATTCATCAAGAAAAGTTCCCTGTCCGATCTAGTCTCCAGAGGAAGCATGAGCAGGAAATTCAAGACTTCCACAACCAGTGATGATTGGAGTGATGTCAGCTCGCGCTGGGGAAAGGACAGTCAGGTAGATTTTCTTGAGAGGTTCGAGAAGGCAGTATCAAAATTATTGATTTCAGATGGACTAGAAAGCTGCCTAGATGCTGGCTCTGAAGTCACAACTACATGGCAATTACTGAACAACACTTCAGAGGCGAGACACAAGTCGTCAGTAAGGCAAGATATCCTTGACCAGCTGCTTGACAGTATTTCCACATCAAAAAAGGACAAAGTGGTCAGGGCATCAGTCTATGTTCTGCTGCTCATGATATCTGAAGATAGAAATATGATGAGAGGCATCAAGAGGAAGGACTTCCATTTATCCAACTTAGCCATTGCATTGAAGAGAGATGTACATGAAGCAGCCATTCTGATATATCTGTTGGATCCTACACCTTTAGAGATAAAAAACTTGGATCTGTTGCCCTCGCTTCTACATATTGCTTGTAACTCAGGCACCCAAAAATGGCCTGCAATGCTTCCACTGACACCGACATCAGCATCAATAGCTCTCATTGAGATCTTAGTGACAGCATTCGACTATGTAACAAACAATGTCCACTTGGCTTCCCTCAGCTCTCCTCCTATTCTGTCTAAGCTTGTAGACGTTGCAAAGAACCACAACTTGGAGGAAGGTGTAGCCCTGGCAGCTATTCTCATCAGATGTGTACGTCTCAATGGTAACTGCAAGAAGTTCTTGTCACAGGCTACTCCAGTGGACCCATTCCTTCACCTTCTGAGACGAAAAGAGCACCGTGCCAAGTGTGCTGCACTTGAATACTTCCATGAGAATCTACAGATTCCCAGGTATGGTGCACATCCTGTAAAGAATTACTCCGTTATATACTTGTCTTTATAACTTATTGAATTGTGCAAATTTCCAGGTCCTCAGCAAACTCTCTGCTTGAAGAAATACGACGGCAAGGTGGCATTGCAATTATGCATACACTGATGGTCAGCCTCCATCAAACTGAACCTGAACATCGGGTTTTAGCAGCTAGCCTTCTCCTGCAATTGGATATGATGGTACATACTGTTGAATAATCTACTGCTTCCTTGTGAGAACACACAGCAGGGGAAGGCGGCGCCGAAAAGGCTCCCTACTGTGGTACTGTAGCCGCTGCAGAAGGTAGGCTACGAACGACTCACCTGCCGCACTGTAGCCACAGCAGGGACAGACGCAGAAGTCAGTCCTGCTGTGTTATCTAGTCACTGTAGTAGCATGGCAGATGTACTAGGACTAGATGGATAGAGTTGTATATATAGTTTACCACTGCAACTCAGTAAAGAGAGTTCAGATTTGTCATCTACTATACAGGGCTCCGGCCAACGCCGGTGTCTCTGCTGTGTGTGTATGCTCTGTTCTCCCTCTCTTCTTCTACCTCTAGCCATAGTGTGTGGTAGGACAGCGTCTGTCGTGCTCGGCCGTGGTCGGCAAGACTGGTGAGTGGTCGACTCACCTGAGCCGGTGATCTTGTAGGCTGACAAGTGGTATCGGAGCCGTACAAGCGCCGTCGCCAGACTAACCGCTGGCGATGACGGACGGTTCAGAAATGTTCGACAGCAGTGGCACTGCTGTGGTTGCCCAACCACGACAGGAGATCGTTGTTCGCACGGTGCGGGAGGTCAGCGGCACCAGTTGGCTGACGCTGACTCGCACCAACTATGGAGAGTGGTCGGTGACCATGAAGGTCAAGCTTAGAGCCCGACGGCTCTAGAATGCTGTTGACAAGAGCACCGAAAATGAAGAAGATGACATGTCAGCGTTGGAGGCTATCCTCACTGCTGTACCGACGGAGTACAAGGAGCCATTGGGGGCGAAAAGCTCTGCTAAGGAGGCGTGGGAGACTATTGCGGCGATGCACGTCGGTTTCGACCGCGCAAAGAAGGCGACGACCCAGCTTCTGAAGCAGGAGTACGCCAACCTCAAGTTCAATGATGGTGAAACGGTGAAGGATTTCTCCCTCCGTCTGCAGACGCTCATCAGCAAGCTGAAGAGCCACGGCATCACTATCGACGAAGAGGAGGCGGTCTCCAAGTACCTTCACTCCGTGTTGGCAAAGTACATCCAGATCGCTCTCTCCATAGAGACGATGCTGGACTTGTCCACCCTCACCATTGAGGATGTGACAGGCCGTCTGCAGACGGTGGACGAGCGCCTGGAGCAGGCGATAGCAACCAAGGACAGCGGCAAACTGCTGCTGACAGAAGAGGAGTGGGCTGCTCGGAGGAACTCTGGGGTAGCCTCCACCAGCCGCGGTGGCGATGGCAAGCGCCGCGGCAAGGCTTCTTCAGAGACGAAGAAGCAGGTCGACCCCAACGCCTGCCGACGCTGCGGGAAGACGGGCCATTGGGCACGGGAGTCCCCAAATCGCAAGCAGGAGAAGAAGGCTCAGGCTCATCTGGCGCAAGCTGATGATGATGAGGCCACTATCCTGATGACGACGTTCTGTGCACTGCACGACGTCGAGGCCGAGGAGAATGGAGAGGTGACGACGGTGGAAAGACCTGGGAAGGCTCTGAAGGCTGTCAACCTCGAGGAACCGCGCGCCCAAGTCCACCTCGGACGTGTGGGCGGCGAGCAGGAGCAGCAGTGGTATCTGGACTTTGGTGCCAGCAACCACATGACGGACTCCAAGGCATCCTTCTCTGAGCTCGACGACGATGTTACCGGTACGGTGAAGTTTGGTGACGGCTCAAGGGTGACAATCCAAGGGCGCGACACCATCATTTTCAAGTGCCAGAACGGGGAGCACCGCGCGCTAACGGATGTATATTACATCCCGTAGCTGCATTCCAGCATCATCAGCATTGGCCAGCTGGATGAGCGCGGCAGCGAGGTACTGATTAAGGACGGAGTCCTCAGGATCAGGGACCGGGAGCAGCGACTTCTTGCCAAGGTGAAGAGGTCCCTGAACCGGTTGTACCTGCTCGACCTGAAGGTAGAGCAGCCGGTGTGCCTGGCGGCAAGCCCACCGAGGAACCGTGGCTGTGGTATGCCCGGTTCGGACATCTCAGCTTCGACGCACTTGGTCGGCTATAGAAGATGGTCCGAGGGCTACCCCACATCAAGCACGGAGGTGAGCTGTGTGACAGCTGCCTGGCCGGGAAGCAGAGGAGGCTGTCGTTCCCAAAGGCGGTCAAGTATCGCGCGGAGGACGCTCTCGAGCTCGTCCACGGCGACCTCAGCGGGCCGATCACGTCAGCCACAAACGGTGGTCGGCGGTACTTCCTCCTGCTCGTGGATGATTGCAGTCGCTACATGTGGCTGCAACTCCTGACGAGCAAGGACGAAGCGGTGGCGGCGATCAAGAAGTTCAAGATGCGCACGAAGGCCGAGAGCGGCAAGAAGCTCCGCGTGCTGAGGACTGATCGCGGCGGTGAATTCACTTCGGTGGAGTTCACTGCGTACTGTGCGGATCAGGGTGTGGTGCGACACCACACCGCGCCGTACTCGTCACAGCAGAATGACGTGGTGGAGCGACGGAACCAGACGGTGGTCGGCATGGCTCGATCCATGACGAAGGCCAAAGGCATGCCGGCAAGGTTCTGGGGTGAGACGGTGACCACGGCGGTGTACATCCTCAACCGCACTCCCACCAAGGCCCTGAAGGGCAAGACGCTGTTCGAGGCTTGGCATGGACGCAAGCCGAGCGTGTCCTTCCTCCGGACATTCAGCTGCATCGGCCACGTCAGGAAGACAAAACTGATCCTCACCAAGCTGGAGGACAGGAGCACACCGATGGTGTTCCTAGGCTACGCGGAGGGTACCATGCCGTACTGGCTCTACGACCCACGCGGAGACAAGGTACTTGTCTCGTGCGACGTCGTGTTCGACGAGAAGGCGGCTTGGGACTGGAACAGTCCGAGCATGGGGGAAGCTGATGGCTTCACCAGCACCTTCGTCGTCGAGCACCTGGTCATCCACGGTGGTGGAGACGCCGGGGAAGAGGTGCCGAGCACTCCTGGGGAGGTGCCGAGCACTCCGGGAGGGGTGCTGAGCACTCCGAGAGTGGAGTCAGGAGGTCCTGCAGTGGTGCAGACCACTCCAGGACAGGTGGCGAGCACTCCCGTAGCGGAGCCGAGCAGTCTTACAGTGGTGCCGACCACTGCAAGACTGGTGTTGAGCACTCCGGGAGAGGTGCAGACCACTCCAGGAGTGGTGACGAGCTGTCCAGGAGTGCCGAGCACTGCAACTAGGGTGCTGAGCACTCCAGGAGCTGTGCCGAGCACTCCGACGGAACAGGGAACTCAATCGACGACGATCGAGTTCGCCTCACCTCCAAGTGACATCACTGAGTTCGTGGATGCCTTCCACGAAGGTGAGGACGTGCGGTTCCGCAGGCTGGATGACATCGGTGACGGCATAGGGCGCTCAGGCCTGGCTGGTCGGCTGCTCAATGACCAAGAGCTGCTACTCGTTAGTGCAGAGGAACCACCCACGTTCGCGCTGGCCGATCGCGATGAAAACTGGCGACGGGCGATGCTGGAGGAGATGAAGGCGATCGAGGAAAATGAGACTTGGGAGCTCGTCAATCCACCTCCAGGATGCCGTCCGATCAGCCTGAAAGTGGGTGTACAAGGTCAAGCGGGACGAGCTCAGTGCCATTGTCAAGCACAAGGCACGCCTCGTGGCCCGAGGCTTCGTTCAGCTCGAGGGCATCGACTTTGAGAAAGTCTTTACGCCGGTAGCACACATGGAGTCTGTCCGTTTGCTACTAGCTTTGGCAGCAGCAAAGGATTGGTTCGTCCATCACCTAGACGTAAAATCGGCCTTCCTCAACGGCGAGCTGGCGGAAACGGTCTTCGTCAGGCAACCTCTGGGTTTCGCCGTCAAGGGAGCGGAGCATAGGGTGCTCCGACTGCGCAAAGTGCTCTACGGGCTGCGGCAGGCCCCACAAGCATGGAACGCCAAGCTTGACGCCACGCTGGGCGAGCTTGGGTTCCAACGGTGCGCAACCGAGCACGCACTCTACACACGGCGATGGGGGAAGGAGGAGCTCGTCGGCGGCGTGTATGTGGACGACTTGATCGTCACCGGCACGCATGCGGAGGATGTCAATAGCTTCAAGCGTGAGATGGCGGCTCGTTTTCGAATGAGCGATCTCGGTACACTCTCCTACTACCTCGGCATCGAGGTGAGACAGGGGAAAGAGGAACTCACGCTCGGTCAGAGCGCGTATGCCTCGAAGCTATTGGAGCGGAGCGACATGGCTGAGTGGAAGCCATGCGTGACTCCGATCGAGGAGCGGCTGAAGCTGACAAAGGCCAGCACCGCAGCGAAGGTGGATGCAACACTCTACCGGAGCATCGTCGGCGGTCTGCGCTACCTAGTCCACACGAGGACGGACATTGCGTTCGTCGTGGGCTACGTCAGTCGCTTCATGCAGGATCCTCGAGAGGATCACTGGGATGCGGTGAAGCGGCTGTTGCGCTACGTCAGGGGAACGGTGGATCAATGGATCGTCTTCCCCAAGATAGGCGGAAGCAGGCTGCAGCTCATTGTGTTCAGCGATGCAGACATGGCGGGGGACATCGATGGACGGCGGAGCACCTTTAGCGTGCTCGTCTTCCTCGGGTCGGCTCCAATCTCATGGCTATCGCTGAAACAAAAGGTGGTGGCGCTATCTACGTGTGAGGCAGAGTACATAGCAGCGGCCACAACGGCGTGCCAAGTTGTGTGGCTGCGCCGGCTGCTGGGCGAGCTGACCGGTGCGGAAGCTCAACCACCAGCACTGATGGTGGACAACCAGCCCGCCATCGCCCTCGCGAAGAACCCGGTTCTCCACGACCGGAGCAAACACATCGACGTGAAATTCCACTTCCTCAGGGACTGTGTCGATGGAGGGCATATCGTCATCGAGTTCGTCGAAACTGGTCGACAACTCGCGGACGTCCTCACCAAGCCGCTCGGCCGTCTTCGACTCACGGAGCTGAAGAAGATGATCGACATAGAGGGGGTACAAGGGTTAGCAGTAGGATTAGAGGAAGAATTGTTGAATAATCTACTGCTTCCTTGTGAGAACACACAGCAGGGGAAGGCGACGCCGAAAAGGCTCCCTGCTGTGGTACTGTAGCCGCTGCAGAAGGCAGGCACCGAACGGCTCACCTGCCGCACTGTAGCCACAGCAGGGACAGGTGCAGAAGTCAGTCCTGCTGTGTTATCTAGTCACTGTAGCAGCATGACAACTGTACTAGGACTAGATGGATAGAGTTGTATATATAGTTTGCCACTGCAACTCAGTAAATAGAGTTCAGATTTGTCATCTACTATACAGGGCTCCGGCCAACACTGGTGTCTCTGCTGTGTGTATGCTCTGTTCTCCCTCTCTTCTTCTACCTCTAGCCATAGTGTTTGGTCGGACAGCGTCTGTCGTGCTCAGCCGTGGTCAGCAAAACTGGTGAGTGGTCGACTCACCTGAGCCGGTGATCTTGTGTGCTGACACATACACTGTTCGCTACCTAGATACCCCTAGTCTGAATAAGCATTTACTGTATAAACCACAAATAAATTTTGAAAACAACAACAAAAACAAAGCCTTTTAGTCCCAAGCAAGTTGGGGTAGGCTAGAGTTGAAACCCAACATGAGCCCCTAGTCACGGTTCAGGCAGTCAATAGCTGTTTTCCAAGCACTCCTATCCAAACAAAAATCTCTAGGTATATCCCAACCCATTAAAAATTTTGAAAACAGAAAAGCAAAAATATTTTTGTTTGACCCACATACCTATATGTTTTTCATGGTTTCATCAATGCTTCAAAAACACAACATAAAGGCATTCATCATGTTATTATTATTATTGACTATTTAATATTATTATTAACATTGCAAGTAACCTCACAATATCTGAAGCAGCAGGTTTCATATTCCTTTTGGCAGGAGAGATCAGATGGCAGGAGTGTGTTCCAAGACGAAGCGATGGAAGTCCTGTTGGACTCTCTATCATCTCAAGAAAATAGTAGAGTACAGGCATTATCAGCATGTTTTCTTTCAAACCTTGGAGGGACTTATTCCTGGTCAGGAGAATCGTACACTGCAGCATGGCTCACAAAGAAAGCCGGTCTCACATCAACATCACAAAGAAATACAATCAGGAACATCGACTGGCTTGATTCTTGCCTGCAGGTTAAGTATGAAAACATTCTTTCTTTTGGAAATTGTAGAAAAAAAAAACAAAACTTAATGGTAAGGAACATAATAATAACAATGGTGATACATGATGCAGGATACAGAAATAAGCACATGGAGCAATAAATCTGCACGAGCGATTATTAAAATAGGAGTACCGTTTATCAGCGCTTTAGCCAAAGGAATGCAAAGCAAGGTGAAGGGAACCTCACAGGATTGCCTCATATGCAGTGCATGGCTCGGAAGCGAGCTGGCTGCCCTTGGTGAAAATGCCATAAGATATTTTGTTTGTGAGATCTTGTTGCATGACATAGCAAGTCACCTTCATCCAGGAAATGAGCTTGGCGAAAGGGTTCTAGCATGCATGTGTCTCTATAATTACACCTCCGGAAAAGGTAAATAGTACATCATCACTATCTTCTATCCAGTTACAATTAAATGGTTTTGGTATTTAGTACAATTCAATAGGTATTTTGCACATCTTAAAGACTTTTGGAACATAAACATCCAATCTAAAGCTGAAGGAAAGTTCCAAGCATTATAATTTATACAAGTTACCATTTTTTAACAACAGGAAAGAAAATGTTGATGAGCTTGTCAGAGGGTTCCCGAGAATCTCTTAGGAGGCTTTCATCATTCACATGGATGGCTGAGGAGTTACTTCAAGTTACAGATTATTTTCTTTCCAGCAAACCAGTGAGTATTGTTGGAATTGAGCTCCTTCACTTTCCTAGTTTGTTTCATACTACCCCTGTTCCAGAAAACAAGGCATGCCATCCTAAGTAACAGCAAGAACAGACCATCAAGTAGATCTTCTTATACTGGGAGCTAAGAGCCTAAGATTATATCTGATCTAATCAAAAGTTCTTTAAGATTGCTATTGTTAATTTCAGAAGCTATGCTGAGATCATTATAACAACATTTCTAGCTAGTCCTTTGTGAGAAATGTTTCTTAAACATAAGAAATAATTATCTGATGTTGTCAGTGCAGCATGTATCATTTGTACATACACAAATTCTAGAAATTGGTCAACCAGGCAATGGCGCAGCAACTGCTATAGCATTCTTCAGAGGGCAGCTTTTTGCTGGTTATTCTAATGGCACCATCAGGGTAATGATATATTCCATATGTCTGAATTAAAATCATAACCATAGTTTCAAATTTCCCATACCTACAAAATTAGCTCAAAATCTCTTGAGTAAAAGAAGTTACTTAGAAGGGACCCTTTTTTAGAAGGAAAATCATATGGCGGCAAGGGGGGCTGGCGCCCTCGTTAGCTAAAGGACAAAAATACCATGTTAAAATGTTTCAAAAATCATGTATGTAGTACACCTAAAGTTAAGTGTAGCATCAACAATTCAGATTGAAATTCATCTTTGATGCTGAGATTAAAAAACACAGAAGTGTCACTGTCAACACATGATGAATAGTGCCAGGTTGATTGCTTATCTATTTTGTTTCTTGGCATCTAGGATGAATTTCAAACTGAATTGTTGCGGCTATACTTAACTTTATGTGTACTACATACATGATTGTTGTGATGATTTTTGAAACATTACAACATGGTATTTTAGCTAAGGAGGGCGCCAGCCCCTAGGGCACCAAATCTGTACTCTTTTTAGAAAGACTTAAGGGACTAGGAAAATGGTAGAAACTCTGTACTGATACAGCAAGTTCATTGCTTCAGTTCATGCAGTAGTATTTACATAACTAAAAAATTCCTAATACTCAGGTGTTCTCTGCAGGCATGGGACATAAAAGGCAAGAGGGCAGTAATCATCAGGGAGGTAAAAGAGCACAAGAAGGCGGTGACTTGTTTTGCACTATCAGAAACTGGGGAGAACCTCCTGAGTGGATCAGCAGACAAATCTATTCGGGTAACCAATTCAACTGCAGTGCTAAAACCACAAAAGAAAATTAATTGCAGGGTGTTAAATTAAAAGATCATTTGCAGGTATGGGAAATGGCACAGCCTAAGCTAGAGTGTGTGGAGATGATTCAGACAAGAGAGGCTGTACAAAAGCTTGATATTTGTGGTGACAAAGTTCTTGTACTTACACAGAACAACGTTCTCAAGGTACTTATTGATTTACTATGCACTTGGTGATTGTCTCAACAAATGGAACACATAACAATAATGGTGTTTTTACTTTGATTCTGTCACAGTTCTCTTGTGCATCAAGAAGCAGCCAAACATTTTACAGGAGCAAGCATGTCAAATCTCTAGCTGTATATCAAGGAAAAGCTTACCTTGGATGCAAAGACTCAAGTATACAGGTTAGTTTTTTGGTTACAAAAGCACGTAATAGTATCTTGGATCACTATATCTAAAGAGAATGGCTTGTGTTACAAGTCAGAAACGTGTACAACACATATATGTCTCTAATAAGAACGATTGTTACAGGAACTAGACGTGTCAGTTGAATCCAACATTGAGATAAGGGCACCTAGAAGAAGCTGGATGATTAGCAAACAATTCATTAGCTCCATTGTTGTATACAGAGATTGGATGTACTGTGCCGGTGCTCAGGTCGAAGGATCAGCCTTAAAGGTAAAATGAAATGATCAAACTTGACCTCTTTAAGCTATGAGATGAAAAGAAATGTGAAATTTTTTGAACCGTTTCCAGGATTGGAAGAAACGATGCAAACCTAATATGACAATGCCAATACCAAAGGGAACAAATGTAGAGGCCATGGCAGTGGTGGAAGACTTCATCTACTTGAACTGCAGTAGAAGCCCTAGTATCATTCAGGTGACATGAATTATTTTTCTTTTTTCCATGTCAGCTACACTAATTTATGGAAAGAAAAAGGCATGATAATTCCACTGCTTGAGCACAATATACTACCAGAAGGTCTGTATTTGATTACAAATTTCAGTCTGAACTCGCTGAAATTTGTTGGCCAGTCCATTGCGATCGCATGCTTGATACCTAATGGAACTAACATTTAGGTCTCACTATCATCTATCAAGAACCAGGAACCAAAAACTCTTACGTTTCGAGAAGGCCATCTATAGTTTCTTTTTATTTAGTCAAAGTATAGAAGCTGTCCCTTTTTCTTTTTGAAACCAACGAAGTAGGAGAGCTGCCACCAGACTGGGTAATACAACAAAACAACAAGAGCTCAAAGGGTCTAGCAACAACATAACTGAGGCAACCAAAATAGAAGCTGTCCCTTGGATCACAAATGAAAATACAGGATTCACGAGTCCTAATTTTGCTTCTGATTTTATGATAGATATGGTTGAGGGAAAAGCAGCAGAAAGTAGGAAGGCTATCTGCAGGAAGCAAGATAACGAGCTTGTTCACTGCAAACGACATGATTTTCTGTGGTACAGAAACTGGGTTAATTAAGGTCAGTAACAACCAATTAATCTTGAGAACTGAGATTTATGCTTCTCTGAGGATAACGGTGAAACAAAAAATTCTTGCAAATGTAACTACAGGCATGGATACCGTTGTGAAGAGTAGAAGCAAAACGGAGCAGGTGGAAGGCCCAATCTTGTAAATGCAAAGGAAAGCTAGAGTGTACAGGAAACATGAAAAAGAGGAGCAGACCATTGTACAAGCCCTCAGGACACAACACAGCAGCGCAGTTCGTGCATAAACTCCATGATCAGCAAGTTGTTCAAAATAATGAGTAGTAGGTTCATAATGTAAATATTAACTAGTGTGCGTAAAGCGTGTTTGTTTTAGTTTTGGGAAGGGATGAGTTGTGAATGTCAATAAAGGGTAGAGTAAATTTCTTAGATCTACATATATACTTGTGCAATACTATCATAGAATTGGAATTTTTAAGAAAACACTATGTACTACCTCGGGTGACAAAAAAGAGATGTCATTTTGGACAATGACGAGCCTCCAAAGTTTTATTCTTTTGGCTACCATTAATTTATATTGGAATACATAATCATGGAATAATTGTTGAAACAACACTTAGCATATGATTTCCATTCCTAATATTTAACTTTGTGTTGTGCTTGTTTGGACAATGTTAACCAAGTATACTATGTTGAAATGTCTACGGTCTGTTAAAAGTGTTGTGGGACGAATGTTTTTCGGTTTTGAAACAATTAGCAGCAGCTCTGCCATATCACATAAGAAGGGGAGGAGGTCCAAGTTTTGCAAGGTTTCACGCCTAGACTCAAGAGGCGCATACGTATTGCAAGGTGAGAATTTGGGGGAATTTCACGTGGCAGGCAGCCCACAGGCCAAGCAAGGACGAAGTGCAGGTAGTCAGGTACAAATGTATAGTGCTAGAATGGAATCTCAAGACCAAGAGGAGGAGGGCGGGGCGCCATTATGGCATGACATGAGGCCATGAGCATAAACGAACTGAAGACAAGAAGAAGGTTCAAGGGACGGCACAAACCTGAGCCGAGGCCCCCAGCGCGCTGCCGCAACAACGGTGTTGCCCCCCCTTGGCGTATTTGGCCGAGCACCTTGCGGGCACGGCTGTTTCCCACCCGCACCCGGGCCATGCCCATGCGCCTCGTCGCTCGTCGGTACTATCTTGTCAATGCTCAATGCCTGCGCGCGTTCCTTTGAAACTAGGCCAAATTCAGGGAAAGAAACAGTCAGATGCCTATTCGCTTAGCTACTAAGCCATGACTAAAAATACCGTTAGTTGATTTATTTTGAGAGAAAAGGCTTATAAAGCGAACAGGGCGAGACTCCGTTCCTTAGTCTGAAGGGTGCGTCACGTTTGTTTGAACTTGTTTATAAGCTGTATTTTTTTCAGTCAATAGATAGTATTTTTCTCTTACATCAAATTAGTCAATAGTACTTTTAGCCACGAGTTATCAGTCAAACGAGGCCAAACGAACAGTACGATGGGTTGCCTGCCTGCCTGCCTGTCGTGAAGTGCAACGTGTGTCATGCGCTGCCAATTGCTGCTGCCCTGCCGAGTCGGTTTCGTTGTTTCCTGTGTGTGATTTACTGGGGCCTTGTTCTCTTTGCAAAAAATTTCAATCCGATAAATAGTATCGCTTTCGTCTTATTTGATAAATATTGTCTAATCGTAGACCAATTAGGTTCAAAAAATTCATCTCGTGATTTCCAACTAAACTGTATAATTAGTTATTTTTTTACCTACATTTAATACTCCATGCAAGCGGCTAAAAATTAATGTAATAGAGAAAGAGTGAAAAAACTTGGAATTTGGATTGCATCATAACAAGGCCTGGTTGTGGTTGGTGAATGATGATGATGCCCCCGCGCGCACATAGGAGTACAGTACGCCTGGCAGATCTGCAGTGCAGGACTTGTCACTTGTGTGCTTTCTTTCTTGAATTGCTTTAAATTGCATTGCATTAGGCGTGGGCAATACGGAATATGGCACCGACGACGATTACATACAGCAGTACTACTTACAGCAAAGAAAGTAATTTGCATAGTGTCGTGGTTTAGTAGGTTAAGTTCGATCAATTATAGATAAAAAAAATATCAATACTTATTTAAGAATATTAAATAAATATTATTAGATTAATTATGAAATATATTTTTATAATAAATTATTTTAGAGAGGTAAGTATAAATAGTATTCGCTAAAAATTTTGTCGAACATGAACCAGTTGTATTTTTTTTTAGACAGAGAGAATAGTATTATTTCTCAAAAATCGAGGCTCATCCTTCCTAGCAACCAGCGATCGACGATGTGCATGTGCGCAAGACATCGATGTAGAGTAGCGTGTGTATACATGGTATGCTATCCGGTCAGCAAGCGAGGCCTAACCTTGCCGTTGCCGCCTAACATTTGAAGAAGCACGAACGGCACCGTAGCAAGCGAGGCCTAACCTTGCCATGCCTCCGTCTACTCTGGTACAGCTGAAGCTGACAGCTCTGGTCTCCTCCAAAAATTTACTCTCCGTCACATCAGATGTTTGGACACATACACAGAGTATTAAATATAGACTACAAAAATAACTAATTTCACATATTGCGACTAATTTGCGAGACAAATTTTTTAAGTCTAATTAGTTCATGATTTGACAATGTGGTGCTATAGTAAACATGTGCTAATGATGGATTAATTAGGCTTAATAAATTCATCTCGCGGATTACTGAGGACTTATGTAATTTATTTTATTATTACTATCCGAATACTGTGACATCCGATGTGACATCCTAAACTTTACCCTCTCGATTTAAACACCACCTCAATGTATAAAGTTAAACGTCCTATTCGTTTGGTTTATAAGCCAAACTTTTTCAGTCAACGAATAATATTTTTCTCTCACAATAAATCAGTCAACGGTACTTTAAGTAATGATAAACGAACAGGGCAAAATAGGCTACGGAGAGAGTACGGCCTTCACAGGAGGAAGCGCCCAAGTGTCTCTAGTTTGATATGCGAGAAGAAAACACAGCGAAGATAGGTTTTTAATGGCGCCGAGATGTCAAGCTGAGGGACTGTTCTCACGAGATCTTTTTAATGTACTCACCACTCCGAGGAAAGAGAAAAAAAAAAGCACCTAGTACTACTAGTACAGTAGTACTGTTCTCACGAGGTGCCAATTTCATTTGACCATTGGAATGAAAAACACTGGAGAAATTTTGGACCACTCGCAGCTATTGCTGAATAAATAATAGTGCAATTAATGTTGCACTATTAGATTACCTGGGTTGATGACGATGACATACATAGGAGAATAGAACGTAGTAGACGGCAGACGGGTTTACCATTCTTCATGGAAATTTTCCTCATTGCGGTCTGGGAGCTTTGGAAAATCAGAAATACGCTGGTTTTTGATGGAGTTCAAGGTATGTTCAACTGGTATTAAAGTCGGCTGATAAGCTAGCTAAAACTATTTTGTTGTGAGAAAAAAATATTATAAATTCTAGTTAATAAGTCGGCTGATAAGCATGCTTCAATAGATGGCTCACAAACTTCAAGGAAGAAGCTGCTCTTCGGTCTTTTCGCATTAATGACACATAGAGTTCTAGTTCGTCTTTGGCTTGACACTCTATAATTTTGTTTTTTCTCTTTATGTTTTGTGGTTGTATAGCTCTCCTTTCTCTTCCTCCCCGTTGTAAGTATTTCCCTAGACTTTTGCTCCTGTTTTTTTTATATAAAATTTTGAAAACACCGTGGGGAACTCTCCCATGGTTTTTGCGTCAAAAATAATAATAGTGCAACTTTGTGAAGTACTAATATTATGATATCTCATGAGCCACTTACAGAAGCATGTTAGTTATGATCATCGGGAGAAAAAGTAAGATCATGTCAAGAAAAAGTAAAAATAATTAAGTTTATATAGATAGTTTATAACATATAAATATTTTGTCAGGGGGCCAAGTTGGTCGGCTTATGGTTAATCCTTTTGCTCTTTTGGATGGCGTCTCGTGGTGATTTCATTTCGGTCCAAGAATCTTGAGCTGGACTGTGGATTTTGTACGGTAAACTGGAGTGGCTCGCTTGAATTGAGTGCCTAGGTAGCTGTCTGACTGCAGGACTTGTGCTTGCTGCATGTCTCAAAGCTGCCGTTGATGGCTCCTGCTCTCTCTGCGGTTGATGGAATTCGATGACCTAGGCAGAATGGTTCCAGCTCCGTTTTTTTTTATAGAAAAGAATCGCCTCCAGCTCCAAGCATTCGCCGAGTTCGCGCGGTAGCTACTAGCTAGGGTGTCGTGCTGAACAGCGCAGCAGTTTCAATGCTGAATATGAAGCATGTGCGAAGTCGCAGGCTCGCAGCGGACCAGCTGCCACCAAAGTTTGTTATTAGTACCGGACCAGAGTTGGTACCGGCGAGGCCATTCGCTGGTGTATAGAACTGTTTGAACTGCTGGTTTTTAGACAGATGATAAATAAACAACATAAATTTAATTACACAAGTTTTTAGATTCAAAACAAAAGTGCATGATAACTGATAAGAAATGCAGCTCATCTGTTACTACTTTAGCCATGTCGTGGAAATCTTAGAAATTAATCCTAAATTAATCAAATATGGAGAAAAGAGATGCCTAATAACTAATATACTCTAACACGAACACGAGCTTCATATATTTATGAATCTTCACGTTGACAGATCATAGATGCCTAATTTAATCTTAACCCAGGCTCACCATTAGACATGTCGCGAAGTTCTGGCATGATCGTCTGGTACAGGAGAACAGCAGGGAAGCACCTGGAGGCCTGGAGCGGTGGAGCCTAGAGCATAGTAGCAGACAGCAAGGCTGCAGCCGCACGCCGCTGCCGGTTGCGGACGACGCGAGCTCGACCCATCGCGGCCGCCCGTTGCCCGCCGTAGCCGCCCGCGGCCACTGCGACCACCTGTTGCCTGCCGCCAGCCGCACGCCGACCCGCCCGTAGCTGCTTGCTGATGCTCTTGCCGCCGCCTGCTAGACGCTGCATGGAGCAAAAGCACTGCGCCGCCGCCCAGAACACGAAAAGGCAATTTTTCCCTCCCACTCGGCCACTCCCAGCGGCAAAACAACCCTAAAGAGGCATTTGGAGCCAATTTCCAATAATACCCCTAACTAGATAAGGTCGTCATGAGTGCACAGAGG